GAAACTATAGACTTAGTATTTTGACTTTACAAACATCTAATTTGAACCACTGCTGCATTCAAAATACCACGTGACACACAAAAATCGATGTTGTTCTGCGTTTATTTGATATTTACTTTTAAATTAATAAATTGAGTAATGTATAGTTCTAAAATTATAATAATAATCTACAGTTTGATACCAAACTTATTAACATAAATCCATGAAATAGTAGTTCAATAAAATTTTGAATGTGAGTCAACAAACGAAACGACATGGCCTTTCACCTGTGACCCATCTCGAAAGGGTTAATGTTGCAATTTGTACTGTCATAACATGAGTAAAACATGCACATGCAATGAATCACAAGAAGAATTATGCAATCTGTAGGATATAACACAGCATGACATATGAACTTCAAAAGCAAGAAATACAAATATTTGTTACTCTAATTTTCATCTTATTTACTTTTAGAACAGAACACTTTGGGGACCCTGTGGAAGTACATCTAGTACAAGACAATGAGACCTTGTGTTGTGTCATCTTGACAGACTGTGCCTATTGATCTGGTATGTCTATGTCCATCTTCCTGAAGTTCAGTAATTAGTATGAATTATGATAAATTAATGTGGACTGTGCAAGTCAAAGTTGAAAATGCATCATTTAAAAATATTTTTTGTCCAAGTTATTATTTATGTTTGTCTGACACAGTTTGTTTTCATAAACCTTGAATGGCAGTACTAGCAGGAAAACATAGCAATTCAAACTGTTTACTGTGTTACAACAACAAAGTAATTTCCCATTCACTTCTGGTACTTATATATCACATTACACTGGGTACATGTGTTATTTTGTAGGCTACTTCTGTTTATTTTCATCTGTGATTCTTTTTTTTTTTATACATTAGTATTAACTTTTGATCAAAGAAGGCTACATACACAGAACTAAAAATTTACCTAGTAATAAATAAATAAATATTTGTGATTAATTACACATGAATATATATACAAAAAGAACAATTTTCCCATTTTCTACCACCATTCTCCAAACTAAATGAAGTTTACTCCTGATCTCTAAACTACTCATCGAACCTTCTCTTAAATTCCGGTAATGTTACAACTTCTACCTCTCCTAAAAGCAAACTACTTCACTAGAGTTGTACCTGAAATTTCCATACATTAACCTTGGATCCTCTACTTTTACAGCCTGCAGTTCTCTTACTATACATAGATTAAATGTAATGTTTCTAAATCATATTAGCAAATAAATAATACATCGTTCCCTTCCAAACTGTATGATAATATGAAACTCATCTAAATTCTCTAATTATAGACTTGGATTTCTTCCATCCACTACAAGTACAATTATTTGGCCTGATTTCCAATCTTCCAAAACCTCATCAATATTAATGGATTCATTTAATATGCAAGTTATCAGTTCATAAATCTGATCTTTTGTGTCCTTCATTATCCCAAGATAAATATTACCTAGAACAGGTGCCATATTTTTATTGTTTTCAACTCTCAAATATTACCAGCTCTGGCTTGATCATAGTTTTATTTGAAGATTTCAGATAATCTTCTAAAGAGAGAGAGATAAACTTAAGTAATTTACCTTACATCTTTCATTGCAGAAACTGAGGAGAAAAAACATAAAAACATTGAAGTACTCAGCTAACTTGTAATCATCAACTATTTTCACTTTTTAAAGGCCCAACTCTCATTAAAAAAAGTCAATTTCCTTTTTAAATATTTTGTTTTCATTGTTTATGTTAATATTTTATGCCAGCTGTTTATTCCTACTTCTTTTTCAATTTTGTAATATCCATTTTAACCAATGATCTAGTATTTTTTTTTATATATATATAAGTATTTAAATCTTGAATTCTCACAATTTGTTAGAAGTTTCTAAATCAGTAATTATTTTCTTTGATTTTCCATTGTAAGCCAATTTGGACTAAACATTTGGTACTTTTTTTTTCAACCTTAACATGCACAAGTTTATTTACAAAATTTCTCCTTACAGGTTTCCTACTTCAGAGAAGCATCCCCAGTCAACAGCCTGTTCCAATTTAGCCAAGAGAATTCCATTCTCATAATAGTGAAGTTGGCTTTTCCAAAATTTGGAGACTAAGGGAAAGTATTTCTGGAAAATAATCTTTTAACTTTTCAAAAATAAGGGTTACCTTTATGTAAGTATTATAAGATAGTGTGAAGTTCCAGTCATATTAAACAGGATAATTTATATATTTTTTAGATACTCTATGATAAATACATGTAGAGCAAATGTTGTTGGAAGCTCCTGGAAGAGCTGTTTAACAAATATACAGCTCCTTCACAAATTTCTGGACAGAAATTGACATCTGGTCCTTTCAGGGGTGCCTTCTTAAGCTAGTTGTAGGAATGAATTACTTATCAAGATCTAATGCTTAACAAAATGAGATTATCAAGGATATGCTTAGTTCAACAAATTGCCTGGTTATACCAGTGGGTTAGTTCCGACACAAGGGTGAATTATCTACTACAGACGAGCTCAAATTAATGTGGTTAAACAGTACGATGTTTGGTTAATTTCTAAACATACTCATTAGAGATAGTTTAAATTTGAAAAATTGGATATTAACAAACTGATAGAATAGCTAGAGCAACAAGAAGATTAAACATAAGAGATTTATAGGATAAGAAATTAAGTAATAGTTTTAAAAAGTCTGTCAGATTTAAAGATAAGCATAATAGATTGAGGAATCAGCTTAGTTTCTATTATTATAATGTTAGGAGTACTAAGAAGGGCTTCTGAATAATGTTAATAATGTGAATGTCATTTATTTAGTTTCCATAAATTGTCCTTTGTAATTTGTCTTTATGTGTTAATTAAACAGTTTCTGAAAATTCACATGTATCTATATTGAGCTAGTTGAGGATACTATAGATGACCTAGTGGCTGAACAGGGAGAGATTCTGGCACACTAAGATAGGATCGTTACAATAGTTTAGACTTAATACAAGATGATTGCATAATTTGTAAGTAGTAAATTTGAAAGTTAGTAATAAGTTATTTTTGTGTAATAAGTGTGTAATGATAATATATATCATGTAATTATTATGTACCAACAGATGTTTATATCTAAAGATAATAATAATGTTTAGTCCTCACGACCTTATCCAACAACTCCCAGGGTAAGAAGCCCAAAACTGAACACAATACTCCAAATGTTGCCCAATCAGTGACCTATATAATGAAATTATAACCTCTTTAGACTTATGGTTTATATTTGTAAAGATACAGCCTAAAGTTGACATATTCCTAATCTGAAAATGTATTTTTGATAGATACTCACCTCATACATAGATTAGCTATCTTCTACGTGTTGCTGACTAAGAGATTTACATGTCACTAGCCTAATTTCATGCACTTTTAACATGAACTGTGCTGGTGCATGATGATCAATAGGAGGGCAACACAACCTCCTTGTGCAATTTACACTCATGATAACTTCACTCTTTCATGAGGCTAAACAAAAATGTGCACCAGTATTGGAGAATGTGTGCAGAGACGAGTATCTATCAGAATTACATTTTCAAATTAGGAATACGTTAACTTCCAAAATAATATCCCACCTTGTCACACAGATTAGTTAGAATCCTATCCAGGATTGGTGGAGGGGCCAGTGCAAAATTTTACCAACATAAACTCCCTTCAGAAAGTGCCCAAAGGGTAGCCCATAAAGTGCGACACCCAATGGCAGGGGCTCATAGGGACACACCTGTGGGAAACTGCATATTGTCTCAACCAGGGGTGTAAAGGGGGAAGAAACATATGGATTTTACGTTGTATCTACAAAAATATTGAATACAAGTCTAACAGGGATATTTCATTGTATAGGTCATTGGTCAGGCCACATTTAGAATACTGTGTTCAGTCTTGTGCTTTTTACCTTAAAAAGGCCATTGAATAGTTGGAAAGTGTTCAAGAGGAAGGCGACTAGTAGTAGTAGTACTACTACTAGGATTATATTTGGGATGGGAAGTTTGTTATATAAAGATAGGTTAAGATCTCTGAACCTTTTTTCTCTTGAAAAAAGATGTAGAGAGGATCTGATTGAGGTATTTAAGATTGTTAATGGAATTGAAACTGTTGAAGCATCATCTTTTTTCCATATTTAATAGTGGTAATGATAGGACAAGGGGACACAATTATACATTTTGGCAGGGTAGGAGCCATCTTTAGCTAAGCCAGCTTTATTTTTCTGACAGTGTGTTTGGCCTTTGGAATGGGTTGCCTTCAGATGTGACATATGCAGTTTATTCAAGGGAGTTTAAGGGAAAGCTTGATAATATTTGAATGATAAAAGCTGGTTCCGAGTTTTTTGGTGTTTAGTTTAATGGATAAATGGTCCAAAAGATCCTTTGTTGTTCTTTAATGTTAACATAATGCAAAAGAGATTCAAGAGAACTGGATATCTGTTTTGGTTTTCATACATTCCACTTTTACAGACGAATTTGTTTGTACTTTAAACCTTTTATATTGCATGCTGCAATTTTTCAAGTTCCAAACAAATTTTGTTTTTTCATTTCTTTGATTTGGAATTTTTTTATAATGTTTGACAAACTGTGATTATTTACACAAGTTTAGAAGAGGAATCCTGAAAACTAAGGATGAATTTAAATTTTGGCTGGAGACGGCTTAAATGGGTAATGAAGAAAAACTTTAATACAAGTTTAACATGACAGCAAATGTACAACGTTTCGACAAGGTTTTGTCATCATCAGG